CTCTTTAAACCAGTTATTTGTTGAAACAGATTAACTTTTGTTGCTTTTGAAAGCAAAAAATGCAGTGATCGCTTCTATTTGAGTAGGATGACAGGCCGTAGGTGTTGCAAATGTTTCATATTATGGGACGTAATTGTATAGAAAAATTTCAGATCCAACGAATGCGATAGCGATTAGAAAAACCAGGTGGCTTTATAATTCTGTCCAGCTTTCAAAGAGGCCCTTTTCGAATTTTTTCGTTTTTCTCCGTTCAAATTCAACAACATTGAGCCGTTTTGAGGGATCATGGTAGGTTGGCATGGGCACAATACAGGAAAGTTTCAGACAGATTCATTGGCAAAAACGAAAATTACGACGATTTCTAGAGTGGCTTTATATTTATGTCCAGCACTGTAGAACCCATAAAAAAGTGGCTAAATATCTGGAAGCTGTGAACAAAGCTCCAACAGATTCTGGAGCGGCCGGAAGTGGACTCTTTATGCCGGCTTTCGCAGCTGCAAAAATGTATCTTCCAGCTTTCCCTCGCTGTGCGAGGCTTTGTCGGCCACGGGCTTAGACGTTTGAGAAAAACAACATACACGTGATGGATATGTCAAGATGACCGATTATATAAGCAAAAACATGAGAATGGCACTAAAGGGCTATCTCAAAAGGAATCAATCTTTATTCTTTTTACTGATTGATACTTACACGGACCCTGACAGCAGACAAATTCGGTGTTCGTGGTGTTCGCAGTGTTCGCGGTGTTCGCGGTTGTCGGAGTTGCCGGCAGGTTAAAGTGTGGGATGGGGCACGCCTCACAAGATATAACAATTTTTCAATTTTACCGACAACACCGCGAACACCGCGAACACCGCGAACACCACGAACACCACGAACACTGGGAACCAGTGGCCGTTCCCTTAGAGGGGATGGAGGATGATGCTATGAATGCTATTTCAAATAACCCTATCATTTGGATCCACTGCATGGCGCATAAGATAGGGCTTGCTCTGACAGATGCTTTCAAAGATGCAAGTGAGGAAATCACTGAATGGAGAAAATTTGCAATATCATTTTTGAATAAGCTGCGGGTATTCTTTACGGCTACTACACGAAAACGCGTTCTGGTCTCGGTGTAGAAGACGTTGTTAGATGAACATTTCATGAATCTCAAAAGAATTATCACTGTACGGTAGTCCACAGCTGAAAAAAGTAAGTTTTCGCTCTCACTATCTGCCATATGTCTTTAGGTGCTATCCGCAGTTTTCTGAGGTTGCACAAACATGTTTGGATTGCGTTGCAACAAATATCATTGAGTACCAAGGATTTTCCCTCAAAGATCGTCTCAAAGCTTCGTTCTTACGCGCGGTGAAATCGCTGAAGTTTTACAGATACATGGTTTTTCAATTACAGGTTACTGAAGAGATGAATCGCAGCAACATGTTGCATGTTGCTGCGACAAGCAACTATAATGTTGCCTGCTCCTGCATCGTGTAATGCCTGAGAGTGAATGTTGTGACATATGGCGGTGGCATGTTGCGAGATCTGTTTGATGTAATTTTTGAGACTAGCTTTTAAGGCTCTAGAGACTGCAGATAAAGGCTAAGCACCGCTCAGCCTTTATCTGCAATGGACTAGCCCTCTTAGTTAATGTACGCAACTGCAGACTTCACGAAAAAATTGCCCATGGGGAGATGGAGGGGCAGATATCGATTTCTTGCACTTCTTCTTACTTTCGCTTGTCGTAAAAAACGATTGACCTTAACGGGACCACTCTCTGCTGCCGTAACTCTCCTATATGTTTCTTCGTGACAACATTGTGTTGCAAGTGATTGTTTGCACGCATCGACTGTGATGGTTTGTCTTTGTTTGCTCACCTTTTCTCTGATTTGTGCTTCGATCGGCTAGCAGAGGCGTTCACAGTCATCTCGTTTTAGGTAGGGATTTTTGTTGTTTTTGAAACTACTGATATGCTTCGCTTTAGACTTTAACTATCAACGATGAATTTTTCCTTTATTGAATGGCTTCCTCTTTTTCATTGAATCCTCTTTCTAACAATTGTAGAGGCGATTCATCGCACGCGCAGACTCGACGCTGTCGAGTCCGGTAAAGATAGCTCGTGCGCATATGAGACATGAGGCAGCAAGAGGAATGAAAGAGCGCCAGCGAGACGCGGACGTCCGTATTGACGCAGTGTCATTGCGTGCGATGAATCGCATATACAAATGGAATCCTTTTGTTAGTGTCGTCTTTATATCGAGAAACCGGCTGCCCCGTATCTGTCTTCTTTTGATAGCGCAAACATGTTAGACTAGTCTTGGCTTATGCATAGTAATGTTGTAATTACAGGTCAAGCTCGCACGGTATACCTACTCCGGTCTCTTCGAAACGGATCTGTTTCACTCAAGACGAGAGTCTAGAATGATAAACAGCTGCAAGCGGAGTCAGTTTTAACCTGGGGTTCGTTGGAACAGTTGAGCCGTTTGACTGACAGGAATGACGTGTAACGAGACTTTGCTTTCGATGATGACATAGTGAGTATTCTTGTTTCCTTTTCATTCCTTCCCCGTTTTTTGTCTAATACTCTTCTTAATTATTCCGTTCCATTCTTTTCAGTTCTTTCAGTCCGTTTATGACTTTCGACTTATAGCTTCACGGCAATCCACCTTTTTGCAAAAATATCTCACTTATGCAAAAAATAGTTCCTGGCCGCTCGAGGAAGTGCCTAGACGAGACTCAGCACTTCTAAAAGAGCACACGGCAGGAACAACATCTCTAAATATTATCACTATATAATAATAACACCTTTTCAAGAACGGACAGAGATTGGAACAATCGGTTGATGTGTAAATACAACTTAACACGGAAAAAATTGAGAAAATAAGAGTGAGATAAGCTCGTCATCCACATCCTCGACAACGATCCAGAAACCTTCGGCCGTGCCATGAACCCTTGAATGCATGTGGTTAGCCAATAAACGCTATATCAGCAACTTAATGAATAACCTAGTGAATAATGCAAAAATTTAAGAGCAATGTAACCTCGAATCCGCTCTTTTTGCGCATTTCACAAGATTGCCCTTAACTTCAGAAATGCTGTGTGAATTAGATCGGCTCGTCATTGTTCCAGAAGCGACTTCGGCATTGAGCGGGAGGCGTGCAAGTGGTACCCGGGCAGCCGACTGCTGCCGCAGCCAGCCGCCAGAGTTGCCGGCAAAGCCGTTGCAGATGGTACAGTAATTACGCTCGTCGTCTAAAACTCTTGCCGAGCGGTTTTCTCGCACCTCGTCGCTTTGAGGTGCGAAATCAGCCTCAGGAAAGCGTGATATCCTCGATATCTTTATCTTTTTGACAAAAAAATTCATGTCTTTTGAAATCAAGCAAATAAACAAAGATGACCAGAGAAAGGTTTTTCTAGAGGAAAATGATCACAAGATCAAGTCACTTCAAATGCTCAAAGGAAGCAGAAGCTGAAAAAATTAGGAATCCTTAAATTTCTAGAGATTTTTTTCCCTCCTTTACGTCGAAAAATGGACGAGAACAATTACAGGGAAATGTCATGTATATAACGGTAAGAAAACTGTGTCAAAATGATTATTTCATACAGAGTGATGTTAAGCGAGCTAAATAAGGCAAAGTAGGTCAATCAAATTAAGGAGGTCAATGATAGCGTAATATCCTCAATATTTATATCATTTTGAACAGAGCAGAGAAAACCATATTTTATTGAGAATCATACAGTCGAATACAAACTACACCGAAAAATTTCCAAAGATTCACAAACAATTACAAAAATGAATGAATAGGATATCAAAAAGTTTTTTTCTGTTACAATTTATGAAATCAAAGTACTATAAATATCCATTGAACACTTCAGAACTGGAAATGCAGCCTTATTGAAGGACTAACAGGGGTAGTTCTTTCAATTTTGAGCTTTTATAATTCGCAATGAGTTGTGAATTTCGAATTTTTTCATTATTATTTATTTATTTTCTCAAAATACCTGGAGAAGTGAACTGTGTAGATATTAAAATAGTACATACTTCTTGGTGATGTTCCCTTTTATATCAGCAGATGTGGCATATTTTCATCTTTTATCATTGATCTACTCAGATTGACTTATTTTGCCTTTAGCTCGCTAAACACTCTGTATGGAATAATCATTTTGACACAGTTTTCTTACCTTTAAACCCATGACACTTTCCTGTAATTGTTCTCGTACGTTCTTCGACGTAAAAGCGAGAAGAAAACTCTAAAAATGTGAGAAATTTCTGAACTTTCCAGCTTTTGCTACCTCTGAGTTTTTGAAATGATCTGAATTTGTAATCATTTTCCTTTGAAAAACCTCCCCTCTATTTACCTTTGCTATTTGCATGTTTCTCAAAAACATGAACTTTCTTAATCATTTTGACACAGTTTTCTTACCTTTACACCCATGACACTTTCCTGTAATTGTTCTCGTACGTTCTTCGACGTAAAAGCGAGAAGAAAACTCCAAAAATGTGAGAAATTTCTGAACTTTTCAGCTTTTACCTCTGAGTTTTTGAAATGATCTGAATTTGTAATCATTTTCCTTTGAAAAACCTCCCCTCTGTTTACCTTTGCTATTTGCATGTTTCTCAAAAACATGAACTTTCTGCTGTTTCAAATAATATGGATATCGAGGATATCACGCTTTCCTGAGGCTGATTTCGCACCTCAAAGCGACGAGGTGCGAGAAAACCGCTCGGCAAGAGTTTTAGACGACGAGCGTAATTACTGTACCATCTGCAGCGGCTTTGCCGGCAACTCTGGCGGCTGGCTGCGGCAGCAGTCGGCTGCCTGGGTACCACTTGCTACGCGCCCGCATTGAGCATATCAGGAAGGTGAGATACCATTTCACTTTCAATGGACAACTGAAAGAGAGTAGACAATATCAACTCAAATTATATTTAAGTGTACAAACCCTGCTGGTTCATTAGCGAGAGATAGAACTGAAGTTCGGAGTGACTGGTAATCAAGATTCCTTTACCCTTTGAGTCATACTAAACGACCAGCTCCACCAAGCATCTAGAAGAAAGAGATATGTATGTAGAGTCTATCTCCTACACTTTTGTGCATTACCTGCATAACGTCAAGAGCACCGAGCTCAGTCCATCCACCCTTTTCTGGATTATAGATTTGGGTGCCTTTGATTATGACCGTATAAGCGGGCAAATCCACACCCCATGCCAGTGTTGCAGTGAAGAAAAGAACCTGCAAAAGATACACAGCTCGCTGTAATAAGTGTAACATTTTTTATTCTAAATAGACATCAGGATACCGTTCGATAGAGCAAAACAAGCTCTTTAAGAAGGCGTTTATGCTTTTGCACCAGCCTCGATCCACCTCAAGTTTGAAACCGAAATCTAAAAAGTTTGGGATGCTCAGAAAACTGAAAATTTTCTTTATCCTCATTCAGAAAAGTCCTACAGTTCTCTCACTCGCTCACTCGCATATACACTCCATATCAGATAATCATATGTGCTGTTGCCATCTTTTTTTGTTAGCTAGAAATCAAGAAACCGAAAATTTTCATGTTGTTACCAAAGTGCTGTGCTCTTCTTGTACTAACAGTTGTATATTACGACCCCTTAGAAGTATAACCGTAAACAGCTCTCTTTAGGCTCTGGTTTCCGAGAAATGTTGAGTTAAGCGTGAAAAACCGAGTGAAGAAGCCGAATTCGATATTTCTTAGGAACTAGAGCTTATATAAAGCTGAAAATTTACAATTGTACTTCTGAGGGAACCTAGTATGCAACCAATAGTATAAGAAAAGCACAGCACCACTTTGGTAAAAACACGGAAATTTTAGGTTTCTTGAGTTCTAGCTAAGGTTAAAAGACAGCAACAGCACACATGAGTGTTTGATGTGGAGTGTATATCCGTGAGTGAGTGAGAGTTTTGTAGGACTTTTCTGAATGAGGATGTAGAAAATTTTTAATTTTCTGAGCATCCCAAACTTTTCAAACTTTGGTTCCAAACTTAAGGTGGATCGGAGGTGATGCAAAAGCATAAACGCTTTCTTATAGAGCTTGCTTTTCTCTTCGAACGGTACCCTAATGTCTATTCAGAATAAGAGATGTTACACTTTTTACAGCGAAAACTCAAAAATGAAAAGACTTATGGGACAACCTAGTACGTCAGTGAATGATATGAAATCAGATATTCATCGAGTTGTAGAACTCAGGCAAACATAGTGTTACCTGTATGTGCTTATCCGCAAACAAGCCTTCCACAAGCGTACGATCAAGTCTGTTCATTCCAGCATGATGGATTGCAAATTCATACGGAAGCAAGCCCTTCAGATCGAATTTTTTGACCTGCAAACATGATTGAGAGATAATATTAAATATGTCATAGTCAAAATTCAGCTGCATGCTCGGCTTCAGCTCAACGAATTTCAGTGCTCGCACTTCTTGCACTCATGAAAGCACTTAAAGTGTCCTCTAAGCAAGCGTGAGGGATTGCTTTAGCCGTCTTGGCTGTCTTTTTTCGGGACTGAACAAAAATAAGCACCTAAAAGCCCTCCTTAGATTAGAAAAAACTTTGTATTGCCTCGTTATACCTGGCTTTTCCAGCGTGCTCCATGATCCTATCGTAAACCACCTCGTTCATTGCTTGAAATCGTTTCGAAGCCTTCTTTTCGATGACATCTAAAAACTGCATATTTTTGCATGGATATCTCTTCAAAAACAAGTAATTACTGATGTATTGTTGTTCCAATGGTACGGGACGGTAGCTGTTGTCGAAGTAGAAGAGGTAATCAGGTTTCACACACAGGAAAGTGGCAACATCCTGATAGTTGGGAAGCGTAGCTGACAGACCGACAAGGCGGCAGTCATCATGACTTTGCTCGACTTGTCGCAGCGTTCTGAAAATAATGGAAGTGGTGAGCAGAGAAAAGATTGGAAAATTTGCTCTGATCATGCAGGAGCTTGATGTGAATATATAAGAAAGAATTTCTACCTGACAATAATGGCTTGCAGAACGGGTCCACGATCGTTTTGAAGCTGTTTCTATCGGCGCGAAACATCGTCCCACCTACACAAAAACTAGATAGCGAAAAAGATTCACACCAATCTTTTACAAACGAATACGAATATCTTTTAGGAGTTGCAATGATAAGCTTTCTGCGTTGAAGAAGCTTGAGATCTTTTCTGGCAGGACAAGGTGATGGAAAGAGATAAAGCACCTAAGTTTGAGCATTTTCCAAAGACATCGATAATGAAAGAAGAGCCTCACCGTTTCTGAGCTTAGTCATCTGTCCGAAACGACACGAACAAAATGGAGTGTTGGGAGAGGATCGAACACTAGCACAAACATTAACGGTAACAGACGAAAAAATGAAGAAAGTGTGTGGCCTATACTCTTCACAAAGAAGCAACAACATACTGAAACAACGACACTGAAGTAAAACAACATATACTTGTAGACTTGCTAGAACAACAACAAACGCAAGCGCAGTAACAATAACAATTATGAGTGTAAACAAGCTAAAAGCTCTGCTACTGACTCGAAATGACAGGTTTTTCCATATTATCATCCCCAAAGATTGCTGCAGCTCTCTCTCCATCACCCTGCCTGTTTGGTTCGATTCCAGACTTATGGCTCTGGCTCTTCTGTGACGCGATGAACTGCAGAGAACATCGATTATGAATAATTTCATTGAAGAATTTTCGTTGATCCTAAATTTTACATGATAATTGCCAACGCTATCCGACAAACTCCGTACCTGACACAAATGATACTGCTCTTGAAGCAGATCCGCCTCCGTGATTCTTTGTCGATTCCTCGCCGCTCTCGTTCTTCGCCTCCTCCACCGCTTCTTCCACCTCTACTTAGGGTTCCTTCATACTACGTCGCGTACGCCACGTACGCCGCATACGCCACGTAGCCGCGTACGCCGCTGCAGCGCAATGGAAATATGCTCACGGCAGCAGAGCTCCACTTTTTTATGTATCTCTATATTGCTTATTATTACGAGCGTCTCATCATTTATTTCTGTACAGCTTTGACCCCAGATACGTTAACATTGTGAACTGTGAAGTCAGCGCCGAAACTTGAATGGTATTTTGTGAGCGAAAAAAACAAACTGCGGCAACAACGGCGCATCAAATTTGCAATTGCAGTCTAACAGTATGAAGAAGAGAAATCCTTTTCATCCAGTGATGTTTGTAAGGAGATGTCAACAGTGCAAATACACAACCAGATGCACAACCATACAACCATCTACTACCGTATACAACCAGATGACGCAATGTGCAGTCAGTCACGATACAAAATGTGAAACTCGAAAGTAGAGGGAGCACAACAACTTAAGTCATTCCATCAATCATTGATATAGACAAACGATAGACAGGATAAACAAAGCAAAAGAGAGGAAGAAATGCATAATGTGAAGGAACACTGTTGAGGGACACGAATGTGCAGCAAATATAGAGATACATCGAAAAAGTGGAGCTCTGCTGCGGCATGCGCGGCGTAGTATGAAGGAACCCTTAGTCGGCCGCACTCTCCCGCATCTTCCTCCTCGACGTTCCAAAGTTTTACTGAGGACGACAAATCGTCCTCAGTAAAACTTTGGAAGAGCGAGTCACAACACTTGGCTGAATCCCACCATTACCGGCAGCACATCTTCTTGATCATGATTGTCTTCATATGCGGGCGATTTTCTCTGTAAGCAACCATAACGTAAATTGTGTTTGAGTTACGAAATCACGTACCTTTCCCATTCTACTTTCACTCTCTATAAAAAGCTTGGTAATGGGCGTGTTGTCAAAGAAGTTCCAAGGCTTTTCCTCGGAGGGGCTGTCAAACGGACACGCGTTGTTTGTTTTCGCAAAAATTCTTTCTTCTGCAACAAGTACTCCGCCCCTGTTCTGCCACGGTATCTTAAAACATGTTATTAAGATCACGAATAAAGCAAAAAATGATTGAAGTTCTTACTTCTTTTCAGCACTGATGCCCTTCTTTGGCGCCATTCCTTTTGACCTTCGATCTCACGTGATCAAAATGGTTCCTTATTTTGCGCTTACTAACCTCATATCCAACTTCTTCGCAAATTTTGGATATGAGGGTCTTGTAGGCAGCCGTGAGTTTGCCGTTCTGCGTCGGAGTCCGGACGTTCGTGTCGCTGAGCAATACTTCAAAGTTCAAAAAAAAATCGACAATGTATTTTAAGACGGAATTCGGCATTTTGGAAGTATATTCTGCAAAATTGAATATAAAATGAAATAGTAGCATGTATTAAGAAGGTTGCCACAAACGAGAGAGATACTTGCTAACTACTTATATGGATGTAATAACAGGAACTAATACAAAAAAAAACACTTATCAAAACATGTAAATTTACCTTTTAAATTTACCTTTTTGACAACAAGACATGCGCCATTGATGGATTCGGTCTTGTCGGAAAGCAAAATCAAATAAGCAAGTTATGAAAGATAAACGAGTTATGACTTTTTGAATTCAGTACCGGATGAAATCAGAAGCAAGATTAAGATAGGAGAAGCGAAAATTTCGAATGAAAATTTGAGGCACCAATCTTGCAGCGGAATGTGTGCAGTTTTGGGCACCTTAGTCCGCAATATGATGCCACATTACATGTCCCGTAAGTTACTCGCAAGCAACTTACGTGTCTTTTCTCTGCTTCTCATCCTTTGCACACTATCTCGGTCGATTTATCTAATAATTGACGCTGCTCTTACGGATTTCAGGTGAAATTATCGCGGCACCTTTTTTGACGCTGACCCGTCAGATCAGGTCGCATTCTCAAACACGTGAGAGTGGCCGCTGGTCAGTTTATCTCAAAAACTTCAACTCAAGTCTTTAGTTGGGATCATCCAAAGGAAGTGGGGACATCGAAACAGCGGATCACCGAAGGAGCACAATACAAATCTCTTTTTGATCCAGACACCTTCTACACACAATTCTATTTTTCACTTTCTCGTGAAGACCCTCCCCCCCCCCCCCTCCCAGATAGATGTATTGGAAACTGGAGATATGGAAAGATATCCAAAGGCGTTCAACTCCTGAATATTTTCATCTGAAGATTTTTTGACATCAATTTTTGCGGATCGCATAAAAGCATGCCCATCAAACTTCAAAACGAACTTTCAGAATGGTTTTTCTTGTATGAAGATTCATTTTCCTACTGCCTTGATAATGCTGCCCTGAAAAAAAAACTTCTTATTGGAGTTGAGCATCTAGCCCGCAAACTCACAACAATTGGGTAAATCTAAGTTTCAAAAATAGCAACATCAGATGTCGTTTGCGTGATTGTGACTTATTAAAATTTTTTTGCTTAAGCCGACTGTTAATGCGAATAAAGAAAACAACCTCTATTATCAACAAAATAACAAAATATCTAATTATCAATTCATAACATCATATTTTATGAGGTATCGCAGTTTACAAAGGTGCTGCCTTCCTCCCTCCCAACCTCGTACCCGCCATCCTTCACCTGCTCTAGGGACTCCGCGGCCATCAGCAGACCTTTACGGCCCGCATTCAGACGCGGGACCCATCGCTGCTTGTGAATCAGCAACAGGAAACAAAAAAGTGCAGGGATTGCGATGATTAACAGTCCGATAACAAATCCAATTTTGCCATATCTAAATAATTTTTATTTATAAATAGTCAAATAATTGAATATTGGACTTACATATTTCTAGGTACAGTACATCCGGCTCAGTTGAGAATGACTTCGATGCTTTCGGGAGATAACACGATTAATTATTCAAAAATTAACTACATAATGTATAGGTATGACTGTTAAGGTGTGCTCGAAATTGACCGAGAAATCAAGAAACACATTCTCAAAAAAATTCTTTTATTTCTACTTCACAATTTCGACCGGCGATTTCTAGATAAGCCTCATGAAGGGCAAAAAGAACTTTTTTGATTTTTTCCACTTCCTACACACGCTGAGCTCAACAGACACGCCAGCCCCGTAGTTCAGACTTGGCAAAAAATCGACATAATCGATAAGGGTAACGGATGTCTCCAAAAGCAATATTGTATTCGTAATCAGCGTTCTCGATTACCCTCCCCCCTGCGCCAACTCCCACTCCTCGCTTAAATTTTGCCAAATAACGATAATGTCGCTAGATGCAAGTCATAGCTGTTAAGTTAAATATTGTTTTCGTGGTCGGCGTGCTTACTTAGCTCCCAGTGCCAACTTCCAGTTCCTCAGTCCGCCGCGTTCGCGTACTCTCCACACTCAGCAAGCTGCCTTATAGCGCAGGTGGGGAACGTGCGCGGATGGACGGTTGAGTCCGATCCACATAACATCTGGAAATAAAGAATACTAACAAAACTTTAAAAAACGAATCGAAACAGTGAGGAGGACTAGAGAGGATGAGGTGAGGTTACAAATGAAATGGCGGCTTATCTACGCGAACACTTCGATAGTGGGTCCCGTGCGGATTGACGGCATCGGCACTGGCGCATTTGCGGAAGGCAACGACCTGGAAGAATAGGCTTAGGGTTGAGCCAGAGTGCGCGGCGTACGGGGGTACGTGACGTACGCAGCGTACGCAGCGTACGCTCGATATGTTTCATCATAGGGTTCCTTCATACTACGCCGCGTGACGCGGCGTGGGCGGCGCACGCCGCAGGAATCGCTCTGATACGTTCACGGCAACGCCTTTTCGCTGGTTATGTACGTATCTTCTATATTTCCTGCAAATTTGTGTTCTTCGAGAGCGTTCCTTCACTGCGTGCAATCCTTCCTCTCTTTTGCCTCGTCTCCATCGTTGATTTTTCACTCAGGTTGGATTGAATATGTGTGCTTCCTCCATCAAACTTATTCCCCTCCAGTTTTCTCCAATTTCGCTTTATCTCCGCCTATTAGCATTGCTCATCATTCATTTTGTTATGAAAACGAGACAACGAAACTTAGCGAAACAACGAAAGCGGAACATACAGGGGAGTTTCTTTTAGGGCAAACGGCAAAATATCGATTATGACTTTCCTTAGTCAGGTGGTCCAAGCCAAAATTCAAATCTCTCGAGAATCAAAGCTTGTAGAAAGTTGAAAATTTAAGTTTATGCTTTTACAGGTTTGTAGTACACAACTGCGCAAGTGGGGACTGCACAGCATCACTTTGAAAAATGCACGAAAATTTCCTTTTCCGTAATTTCCACAAGGTAAAAGAAGACGGCAACGGCGTATATAGATGTCTTAGGGTTCCTTCATACTACGCCGCTGCAGCGGCGATGGCAACTGAATGTTTAATATCTGGTCCAAGACGAAGGCGGTCGCCCAAATAGGTTGAAAGCACGAAAGGCTGCGGCGCGCGGGCAATTGTCAACCACAGGGCGCGCGCACGCTCGGTCAGCGTTCATCCACGCGAGCGTCCGCGCGACCCGTGGTTGACAATTGCCCGCGCGCAGCGTGCGCGTCAGCCTTGCATGCTCTCAACCTATTCGGACGACCGCCTTCGTCTTGGAGGAGATATTACAACGTTCGGAAACGATGTGGCGGTGCAAATAAAAGCGAGCAAGTAGATTTGGTGAGTTTACGGCATTGAATGCAAAGAAAACGGCAAAAAGAAGGCCCTAGCTCTCAAGACCAACTGGCAGCTATTCTATCCATAGGCCAATTTTAGGAAAATAGAAGGGCCTTAGCCAGATTCTCAAATTTCAGATACTAAATTAAAACAGTAGGCTTTAGTGGAAGTGATGTTTACTATTACGCGTTTTAGGCGTTTTACTTTCAAATATATTTATGATCGTCTTCACGATTCGTGTAGAGGCGTATTGCAGACTTTGCTTGATAACACAGGTAAACTTGTTAAAACGTCATAGCATTGTTTTTTTGTACTCTCTCGCTGTCAAAAAGCGCCACGCTTTGAGTTGGCAAAACCCCGCCTCTACACGAATCGTGGAGCCGATGATACATCTGCCAAATTGAAATAACATCTACGTACATCACTGACACTGCATAATGAATAATGAGCAATGACAAATGGGAAAACGATTTCTACAAGAAGATTACGGGACCACTCTTGTCACCGCTACTGTTTGCGACAAGAATTATAATCTCCGAATTGTTGCTGACGTTGCTGACGGAGAAAAAACAGCGATCGAGGAAACACATGCTCAAAGTAGGAGTTGCTGCGTGACAAATATGATCCAGCAGTCAGTGAGAAAGTCTAACGTGTGCTCCGCACTCCCTAAAATGGATACAGAGTGACTAGACCGACAAGAAAAAGGAAATCAGAGTCAAATAATGACATTCCATTGCGCTGCAGCGGCGTACGCGGCGTACGCTGCTTGCGCGGCGCGCGCGGCGTACGCGGCGTAGTATGAAGGAACTCTTATGTGAGTAGTGTTTGCGTGAGCAAGTTAGAATTTTTGTAGAAATTTTATGAACTGAGTTACGATTTTGCTCGATTTTTGTGCAGCTGAATCACTTTAGTTTTTGGCTCGAAACTCAAGGTTAATGAGAGCTGTTGCGAAAGCAAGATCGCCATTCTGTAGAGCTTGCTTTGCTCTATCGAATGTTACCTTGCAACCTATTCAAAAACGAGAAGTGTATGACTTACTGAAAATGAAATTCAAAGCGGACATTAACTTCCGGACAACCTAATACTTGTAAGTAATTAAAATAATTTTTTAAATTTTTTAAAAATTCAATTTAGCTTTATGAAAAATTTTTTTCGTGGGCGTGGCTGACGCCACGCTCCATCTTTCTAAAATTTTGGGGTTATAGGCCCAAGAAAATTTTGAGACACGCACCTTCATCAGAAAAAAATTTTTGTCGACCTCCTTCCCCGAGCGGAAATCCTGGGTACGCCACTGGTATATACAGGGTGTCTTAAAAGTAAGTACACACTTTTCAATCGTCAATATCTCTCTTCCCCTTGGGTCTTCTTCCGCCGTTCAAGTACCGTTCTGTAGAGAAGGCTTCAACTTAGATACACAGTATCCAGCGTATCACCGTTCAATCTTCATTACTGTAGGATTACTGTGAGAACTTCGACAAGGATCTCATGCCATTGCAGGCCATATTTTGCCTCGGAACAAAACCAAACAAGCCAAAAACTCTTGTACTATGGTAATGGAAGCTGCTGATTTCGAAAATGAAACTTCCAGTTGACTGCGATGCCTCTTTCCTGAGTTATCCTAGGTAGACTGTAATGACCCGAGTTCTCAGCATTTGTTGGAAATGTAATTACACTGCCAGACAAG